CGATTTGTTGCTCTTGGGAGCACGACATGGTCGCAGCAGAGAACCTAATTAATTAATGAACCTATTTTTATTCGTACGTCTATGCGTGAATGTGTGCACGCGTGCGTGCTTATGTGGATGTTGCTATCCACGGGCGTGGAGGAGGTCACGTGATAACGTTGACGATGACTGTCAAAACGTTAACCCTAACGGTAACCCTCACTCCAACACCGCCAACACTAACACTCACACTAAATATATATGTGTCGCCGCGCTATATATAGGCATTGTGATCCACAAAAATTAATTATGGGTGGGGACAGATATCATGATGCAAAAACCCTAACCCTAACCCTAATCCTAATCATAACCCTAACCCTAACCCTAATCCTAACCCTAATCCTAACCCTAACCCTAACCCTAACCCTGACCCTAACCCTAATCCTAACACTATCCCAACACTAGTGCTGCCACATTGCGGTCACCTCCCTCCCCGCCCGTGGGATAGCATTACCCGCTTAGGGTGAGGGTGTGCGCGCGTGCGAGTGCCGGTTGCATTCGCAGTCAGTATAACCTTGGTTTTTAGTCAAAGCAACATAAAAGCGTTCTCACACCAGGTCGGAAATCGCGTGATCTTGAGGTAATCTATACAAACAGAACATTTTGAAGATAAACAACCTTTGACTAATACACATAGAGAAATACTCACGTATACGCAATAGATATAGGGAAGTTCATAGTGATAATGTGAAACATTCCATATAAGCATTGCCATGACTATAGAAATAGATAGATAACTATTTCTATCTATCTATCTATCTATCTATCTATCTATCTATCTATCTATCTATGGTTATCTATGGCTATGGTTATCTATCTATTTCTATGGCCATGACACACAATCTACAACATTCGAGATAGAAACAAATCTATTTCATTTCTCTACTTTTACCCTGTGTGTGTGTGTGTGTGTGTGTGTGTGTGTGTGTGTGTGTGTGCGTGCGTGCGTGCGTGCGTGCGTGCGTGCGTGTGTGTGTGAGCGTGTGTTTGTGTGTGTGTGTGTGTGTGCGTCACTGCGTGCGTGCGTGCGTGAGCGTGTGTTTGTGCGTATATGCGTCCGTGCATGCGTGTGTGTCGTGATATGACGGATGAAAAGTAAATGACATAGATAACGTCCATGGATCGATATGTATAGGGGCCTATCAATGAACGGTATTTATGATTGATTGGTAACTACTCTGTGGTAAGACGCAAAACCTCTTAATGGTAGGTGCGTGCATCAGCTGGAGGTAAAGATTCTACTAGAGATTAGATTCTCTTTCTGACACACCCTTCTATTCATATCGTTGATGTGTTTTTCCGACCCCCGGTACAGCGTCCGGTAACCGGTTACCCGTTCTAAGTTTTATAGAGGAACTGTTCGTGGTTGGGTGTAACGGAAAACTCTGTGGCAGCATAATTATAGACCAACTCGGTGTGGTGCGAAAACACGTCTAACATGCAGTACGTCGTGTTGGAGTGATATTCGAGCCACAAATAGCCAAAGATACGCACGACCAACGATATGAATCGAAGGATATAACAGCTATAAAACGCATTAACGATAGGAATCGATGGCTATGTCAGCTAAAAACACATCAAGGATAGGAATAGATGGATATGACAGCTAAAAACCCATGAAGGATAGGAATCGATGGATATGACAGTGACGCACGCACGCATGCACGCGCACACACACATACACGCACGCACGCACGCACACACACACTGATAGAAGAGAGTGAGAACACTGCCCTATAACAAAATAGGTATCAGCGGTCATCCCTATATTTATAGAACGGACGCTTACAAATCACGGGACAGTTTTGGCGTTTCCCTTGAGTGATCCTTAAATACTCGTTCGGCTGTGTTATATTCGTGTGCGTGCGGTGTGCGTGCGTGCGTGTGTGGGTGCGTGTGTGTGTCGTATGTGTGGTGTGCGTGTGTGCGTGCGTGTGTGTGTGTGTGTGTGTGTGTGTGTGTGCGTGCGCGTGCGCGTGTGTGTGTGTGCGCGCGTGCGTGCATGCATGCGTGTGAGTATCTGTCTGTCTGTCTGTCTGTCTATCTGTCTGTCTGTCTGTCTGTCTGTCTATCTGTCTGTCTGTCTGTCTGCCTGTCTTTCTGTCTGTTGCTCTCTCTCTGTCTCACCCCTCTGTCCCCGCCTCTCTCGCGCGCGTATCACGACGAGTCTTCTGCGACAAATTGCACACGGACACATGTGGCTGACCTTGAGTGTCAATAAATGACACAGGATCCCCCGTCGGCGGGTAAAGCAGGTCTCCATGTGCTGGTCGCCGCACTCACATATCTTAGATCGATATACTTAGCAAGAAGTTCTGATGATAAACGTACATATCAAACGGCGTGTAGCGCGGTCATGGGGTACGCGTACGTGCGATGCCAATGTACACAGAAGTATATAGAAGGTAAACAGGCGTGAGCGCATGCTTGGCACGGCCATTTGAATCGTGAATTGAGTGTGTATATAGAGATACAGCCTTGATACAGCTAACGTGAGCGAAGGGGTCGTCCTGGATCCTTGCCAAATCCTATTGAGAAGTATAGGACGGTGGCGTGCTACCTCCTTTTTTTGATTTATGAGCATCCGTGGGCACTTTCATGCTACTGTGCTGCCCCCACACGTGTAATGGCGGGGGCATGCATTGGCGTCACATAATGGGGTGTTGCTATCCCACGGGCGTGGAGGGAGGTCACGTGATAACGTTGACGATGACGTTCAAAACGTTAACACTAACGGTAACGGTAACCCTCACTCCAACACCGCCAACACTAACACTCACACTAAACATATATGTGTCGCCGCGCTATATATAGGCATTGTGATCCACAAAAATTAATCTATGGTGTGGGGACAGATATCATGATGCAAAAACCCTAACCCTAACCCTAATCCTAACCCTAATCCTAACCCTAACCATAATCCTAACACTATCCCAACACTAGTGCTGCCACATTGCGGTCACCTCCCTCCACGCCCGTGGGATAGCATTACCCCACATGGTGCTACGGCCGAGGCATTCGGTGACGGTGTGCATGGCATTCATCATTCGACAAAGCTAATTTGTTGATGGTTAAGAACCTGACAGTCTCACGACGTGGAGTGATGGTTAACTGAGATCACACGCTTCGGTGAAATTTATATTATTCTTGGTTGGCAGTTTGAACTTTAAAAGCTACGTGCATCCGCACACGCGTGGACGTCGAACCTTCAACGCGCGGTTATGTGGGAGAGATGCGTGCCTATAGTTACGTAAAGAACGCCAGACGCACGTTCTCCCATGCACCTACTTATGAGAGCGCACGCTGTTACTTCAATCGTGCTTCCATGCACTGCCTTGATGCTGTTTACTGTTACGTGATATTGGCTTCATTTCGAATACGTTCAAAAGACATCCGGAGAGAGAGAGAGAGAGAGAGAGAGAGAGAGAGAGAAAGAGAGAGAGAGAGAGAGAGAGAG